GTTTACTACCCGAGAGAGATTCTACGCACTTTGACTGTGAAGAACTTCACAGGGTGCCTGTAACAACTAATTAGTTGTAAAACCTTTGCAAAGCACATGCATTCGATGGTTTCGAAACGAAGCTAATGACGTCTATGATAATACAATCGAATCAAAGCTGAGGTGACGAATCCTCATCTCTATAAGATAACCTAACCGCTGTTCCACTTTCGCGCGCTAGCCAAGGTTCTACTTTAGTATATCAGAAAGTGATAGAAAGATTGAAAACCCTATCACCTGATCTGTCGTAATTTACCAACCATCCAGTGCTCCCGTGCCCAACCAATCTGTCCATTCCTTTGCTTCCCTATTTATTGGGGATGTAAAATGGCGGACATTTGGCAATTCGACTGCTCGGTTGTCTGGATTCTTCAGCTCAATTAGAAGCTCTGGAATGCGGCACTCTTGCGACTTTCATTGACTCAGTCGACTGCGGTTGTTTTGGTGTATATACCTCGACATAAAATTACGTGTTTTCCTTTTCTTGCTTTACTTCGTTTACTCCTAAGCTGAGACTGCAGTGGAAGCTACGTCCTAGTTGGACCAGTCATACACCTCTTTCTCGCTACGTCACCACTCTCCCGGCCATACCCACGCGTGGAGAGCCGTGCCCCGAATAAGAGGTAGGCGGCTGATTGGTCCGGCGGGCACGTAGCTCTCACTGTAGTCTCAGCTGAAGGGTGAACGAAGTATAGTGATTGTTCATGACTGTGATACTTGAACAGACACTTAACGGGGCCCTTATGAATGTCGTATCATTCCCTCAGATTATTTTTATTATTATTGTTAGTCTGAATCCACGGGGCACTTCCTGAGTCATAAATCTTTCTCCAAATGGCAAATAAAAAAAAATGCGGCTGGACTTGGAAGGCGTCCCCGCATGCTAGGCTATCCGATTCAATTTTAATGTTTTACACGCTGGTTTCAACCCGTTTCTTTTATTATTACCTAGTGTAATAGCCGTTATTTATCCTACGTTTAATCAAACCTAATTAGAGCTGAGAAAGCAAGGACTCACTGCACATTATCCATTATAATTTATTTTCCCAAGAACACATAACTAAAGTAACTTTATTATCCAACCCCTTTGGATGCGCAAGTTCGAAGGACACAACACTAAGCATTTTAAGGAGGTTGAGAATGCTGGGGACTACGTGCAATCACTTACAACTTTAATCTTCAAAACATGGCCTATAGTCTATGCGATTCTTGCTTTGTGGTTACTTCTGATCGGCGTTCTTATCGCCTGATGCAGCGATCTCAATGACTGTGATGATAAGACGTTCAGAACGCTCCACACATAGTGTTTCTGTGGCTGACACAGACCTTTGAATACGTAAGACAAGAAGGTGTATACTGTCCTCTAAATGTCGCTCTTGCGTTTTGGTACCTCAAAAGAAAATGTACTGCATTCTTTTGTCTATTGAAGCAGTTACAGTTAACGCGCATCCACAGTTGTTTTAAACTTTAGTACGACTGTTCGCAGAAGAGGTAGCAATTCCCCGCCTTACTGCCTTTTCGTAGACCAGTCTTCTGAAATCTCGGGACGCACTCATACTCCTGCACAACTTCAGCGATTATCAGATGGCCATCAACCCACCAGAGGGTCGAGTGGGTCACTGGGACATGGCACTGCTACTTTCTGGGTTCGTACTGTGTTCTCTGGTTTCTGCCTAGACCACCAAATCTAGGTTTTTTTGTCTATACCATAACGGGTCCAGGCTTTAGTTTCGCCTAGACCACCGTGGGGTCTAGGTGTTTTGCAGAGACCACAGCCAAGACCACCATGTAGCCGTGAGTTTGGTCTCTCACACATGTTTAGAAATTATTAAGGGCAGATATGTGATGTTTGTGGGTGAAGACATACATACAAACTGTAGACCTATAAAGAAGTGAGCTTTTTCTGGGTCTCAGTGGCATCTACGAACTTGTACCACACATGAAAGGAAATAAAAATTTCAATTAGAGGAACTTATTTGTTCGAAAAACACGAAAGAACAAAACACGTAGGGACGAAGACAGATAGTACACTTCTTTCAACTAACATCTATATGCTAGATGATATCCTAGTTAAAATAATTGTACTCTCTCTTCTTTCCTAGTTGCGTTCTTTTTGGTCTTTAAGTCATATTTATCAACCCTCTCTAAGTTACTTTTTGAACCTTTTATATTGTCGTTTTGATTCATTTTGTATTTAATTCGTACTTATCTCTTCTTGAATACCTCAAGCTTCACATCAGGGAGAGTCGGTCGCTCAAATTTACCTTCTGGAACACTTCCGGAAAAAATATTCGTAAAAAGGAACGTAGAGACTTCGTTGATCTCCACACATGATATGGTTTCGACCACATTCTGTAGATCAACCTTTTTTTTTAATATTTTAAAAATCTGCAAGTCTCCCGCTTTTTTAAAGCACCCTTGGTACGTGAATGCATTGATCATGACATAACTGTGGTTTTTTACCTTTAAATAGTGCGTCAAATCAGTAGCATCGTTCATACCTTTATTTTACATGGTGCCTAAAATGTTCGTACTTAACTGGACTTACGCCAATTTATTACAAGTTTGGACATACTCACGGGGCAAAAAAAAAGTCAAGAAAACAAACCAGAGTGGTGCCATGACTTTACGGGAGAAAACAAATCACGAACATTAACATCCTGGTTTAAAGTGCACACCATAGCTACAGTTCTTATGTTTGCTTAAGTATACAGAGTCTCCCATTACACTGACGAGTCAAGAAAAAGTGCGCGCCGCCTTGCAACCTTGCCCAGTGCAGAAAGGGATGCTTAAAATTAAACCTACAATCTCCTCTTACTTTTCTTACATAGAACGCTCGTTGATATTTGCGTGTGTTTTCATCCTCCAGGAAAAGTCTTTACATCACCGAAAAAGGTGCAAAAGAGGAGAAATCAGGCGTACTAGGTGAGAACCAATTCTACTTACAGTATTTTTTAAAAGGGAAATTTGAGTCCTTGAATTTGATCTGCGGAGATTTGGGGGGGGGGGGGGGGGAGGGTCGCTATACAAATACTGTTTCAGTACAACAAATGCACACCTTCACACACATTTGTCCATGTTTTTATTGCACTCAGTCTATTGGATTATTTAAACAAACTATTTTTTACGCCCGAATAACTCTCGGGAGCACCCCGTAGTTGCGTAAGGTGCTCTCGCCCGTTAGGAGACATCTCGCCTTTGAATGCCGACAAAGGCTGACTGAGTTTCTTATCCTGGAACAGGAAAATGTCATGACGTAAGCGTCCGTGAATACACCTCATTAAGCTTTTTCTTTTTCCGTTTTTCTTTCCCGTTTTTTACAACGTAATCCGGAGAACATCTTGTGGAGCTGGTGCTTTATGCAGGTACTTCTACGTGAACCCCGTGTAGCCTCACTAATGTGTAATAATATTATAATAGCCGCACTTAGATGGCGTTTGCATCCTCCTCCCCCCCTCCCCCCCCAACCCTTCTTCTTTGGAAACCGCGTGAGCCCCACTAACACTCTCATTTGCATAAGCGTGACTCAGCACATCAGCTGGTGTTTGTATTTCTTCTCCCACTCTTTCCTTTGAAACCATATATCATTCACAATTGCGGGAACGTGACTTGCGCATTCTTGATACCTCGCTCCCCCCCCCCCCCCTCCCTCCCTTCCCTCTCTTTGGATGACGCAAATGTTGTGGCGATCGAGACTTAAGAAACCGGCTTACGGGTATCACGCTTTTAATGTCTGTGAACACAAAAGGAAAATAGCATTTTTTTTTTACCTCGTGATATTTTGATTGGTTCATCGAATTGGAGATATGGCACGTTGATTTTGGAGGCACCTTTGCCAAAAACTCACTGAACAGACATTTATTACGCACAATGGGTGTGCGAATAATGGTTCCAATCCAATAGCATTGCATCATTCATAGCTGATGTTCCGTGTTTTGGGATTTTGTTTGTGTTCAAAATTGGTTGTTGTTGTTGTTGTTTTTTCTTTCTTTTTTTTTGGGGGGGGGGGGGGGGGGGGAGGGATATTATTTTTTTTGTAATCAGTGTTTTTCGGTATTTATTTTCAGTGCCAGGCAATAAATCGGAGTTAAGCGGACCGAATGTTATAAAAGAACAGCATATCTACAAATTGGTTACACCAAATCACCAAATCTTCCGGTCTATAAACCTTACACCCGTGACCAAGATTCTTGAAAAACGTCATCCTGGTACCGAGAACATACGCCCGTTGTTCCCAAAGAAATGAGGAAACTCAAGAACAATTAGTGCGGCTTGTTTTCAGATTCACCAAAAAAGAATGTCGCAGATATAAGCTGTAAAGTAGTTGGTATTTGAATATGCCGCAGATATCTTTTTTTTTTTGTTTTTCTTTTTTTTTTCCGACAACCCCAGAGATTTTGCTATTCAAGGAAAGCTCCAAATGTTTTCTCTCGTTTTTTTTATTTTTTTTTTATTTTGAGAGAATTATTTTGGGGGGTTATTTATCAGTATTTACTGAAAATACGGAACCCTATTTATAACCTTTACCGTGCAAAAGAAAGCCATGACAGCAGGTTTTCTTGACACTGTTGAGGTTGTGAATGAAGCAGCGCTATTTGATTAAGACGACTATTTTGTATCCCTATTACACACGGAAGGAGTGAACCGCCTGGTGACGGTCATTTTCTGTTCTTAAAAGCTGGTTTAAACGTTTGAGTGTGCGCCAGTACGTTACGCTTACGACGAATGAACAAGGTGGCACACTGGCTCCATCCGTCAGGAAGCCCTGGAATATTTCCGAACCTGCATTTTCGTAAGTTTTTGCGTAATCATTCTTCCACCATGGACTACAAATAAGCCAGACAATCTTATAAGCGACTATTTGTCATAAATGTTAAGTAGATTTTATCTCGCAAATGCTCCCATGCCTGCATTCCAATTATGCACAATTGGGAAGTGCCCCAGACTCCCAAATCTACCCGATGGCTGGCGCCAGTATGTCGCCAGTATGTCGCCAGTATATATGTATCCAGTCTGTTAGGTTGTGCGCTTACAGGAGAAAGTGCTTCCAACTGCTCGACGGATAAGGGGTGTGCTCAGACGACTGAGTGTTTCCAACGTCAGAGCGCGGGGCTCTGGTTGTAATGATTAGCGGGCGGACGCGAACCTCGCTGCCACTGCCCCTACTCACCCTCCGAACGCATTTGGCCTTCGCGTTCGAACGGGTTTGAACGAGGAGTAGACGCAAATGCAGCTAACTTTTGCGTCTGCCCAATAGTTATTCGAACCAGAGCTGGGTGTTGCGAAGTTCTCGCGTGCTGTCGTTTCCTCCTCTCCCCCATGTTCTACCCGTACATCCTCTAATCCGATTCTCTGTGCGGCACCGCTCCAAGGCAAGGCGTGGGTCGGAGGCTTCTGCAGCCACAACTTCTCCACCGTCGTGGTTGAGTTCGGTAAAGAGGGGCGCGTGGTGCCCACCCTCACGGCTGGCATCCAGGCGAGCAACGTGGTTGCCCACGAAATGGCCCACAAGTGAGTGTCCCACGTGAGGAAGCTCTGCGACGAGGTCGAAACTCCAGAAAATTGTACGCAATACTTTTTTTTTTTGATGGCGACAGCCGGGATTGTGTGTTTCGCAGCAGGTCATCGGATGTGTTTCATGTAGGGCTGTCGTGGCATGTAACGTCGCAGTGTTGCGTGACGTCATGATATCGCGTGACGTCAGGGCGCCATGTGAGATCAGGGCGTCACGTGACCTCATCTGAAACTGCGACGTGTGCAGGGGAAGTTTCTCAGCCAAATTAGGCGGGAAATGGGATAATCTATGTTTATGGGTGCAGCGAGATTGTGTGTAATATGCATGCATCAGAGTGTGCAGCGGCGACTCGGCCATCGTGGCAGTTCATTTTAACGACACGGCAAGAAACCTTCATTTTATTTTTCAAACCCCAGTTGTTGTTGTTTTACGTTGTTGCTATGCTGACCATACAAAAATGCATTCATCCTGCTTTTTACGACTAACACTGGCACGTCGGCCGTTGCCCAGTAGTTTTGTACCGAAATTGAACGATTCATTTTTCCACAATCTACATACACGGTTAAAAAGTCTGTCAAAGTGAAAACCAAAAGTCCCTTTTTTTAGCGTTATTGACGTTGAACAAACGTGTGGGTCGTCAAGTACTTTTTCATTGACATACAAGTGACGGCCATCAACCTAATTTTCAGGTGATGTAGAATGTTACTCTAAGAAAATGAGCTTTTTTAGATTACCGTAAAATACCGCGGAAACGCCAAGTTTATTCAAGCACCCATTATTAACATTTCCCAAACCTGGGAATTCTGCGAATAATAAATTAAGCGCTCGATTTCAACTGGGCCAAAATTAATCCAGTTTTCTAGGCCTAGAAAACTGGACCTAGATTAGCCCAGTTTTCAGAGAAAGTGGAATGGGCTTCCCCCGGTATTAGTTGTCTAGACGGTACAAAGTACAAATCCATAGTCTGTCTCCCTAAATGGGTCGTCTTCGACATCTAGTTTTGGGGATGAACCGAAGGTAGAGAGGAAGACATTAATTGATAAATTAAGGTTGGTGTGAGAGGGTAGCAACCCGGAAATACTCAAAGATCAGCGCGTTTAAGTGTCGGGATCACACTGCTTTGGTTGCGCAACACTGCATAGTTTTTACGTATTTGCGGGAGTTCCACGTGACGTGCCTTTCGGTCTGACACCGTGTTTCGAACACTCCTTCGCAGCCTCGGACTCTTTCACGACGGTCCGCCGAAGAACGACCCTTGCGCCGGGGACCACTTCATCATGGCCGAGTGGCGGAGTCGCGACACCACCAACAAGTGGTCCCAGTGCAGCAAGTCCAAGCTGAACGCGTTCAGAGACCACGAGAGGGTGGACTGCCTCGCGCCTCTGACCGAGGAGCAGCTGGCCGCCGCCCGCCACCTCAACGCCTGGAAGGACCAGCCTCCTCCGGGACAGCTCATCGACGCAGACGAACAGTGCCAGATTTTCCTCAAAGACCATATGGCCAGGAGGGCCGGAAAGCCGGAAGAGCTGAACGTGAGAATGAAATAGGATGGTTGCCGTGCGTTCATCACATCAAGAAAAACTACCGCCGTCATCTACATGCACCATCTTCATTAGAAGAATCCTGGTCGTCGCAACCATCTTGATCAATCGTCTTCTTGCTCCTCGAACAGTCGCTATCATTAGTACAAAAAGAATAATCATGATTATCATCACAGTAATCATTACTACAAAAGTCATGATCACGATTTTCACTTTCAACATCACCAAGGTCTTTATTCTTACTACAAAAAAATATCGTGATAATCATCTTCACCATCACCATCAACGTTTTTAAGGCAGATTTCTCAGAGGTTGCGAAAATGGTTAAGAATATTAATTGAGGCCTGTTTCAGCCCTGAACAGAAACGCAAGATCGCACAAACACATTACGTGTACTTGAAGGTAAACGTTCGGCAGCTCTCTGCCTGGTCAGGAACAGACATTAGTCAAAAAATAGGAGTTCTAACCAAACGTTGTATCGACAGTAACTTGATGTATCGAGAACAGTTCGGTCTCTTGTTCGCGGGTGACTGACGGAAAGAATAGCTGTGAACATGCGACCAAACTGTGCTCGAAACGCCGAATCACTGTTAGTTAAACTTTTGGTTAGAGCTCCTATTTTTCGTCTAACATTAAGTGTAGTTTGAAGTTTAAACATTGAGTCCTGCACGTCTAGGTATGCTTTCTTAAGTGTCTGTCTATTGCTGTATTTTGTTAAGGATTTTCGTGAATCCAGATCCCTATGACTAAAGGGCTATCGACGGGTAGATTTTGTCCTAACAGCAAATATATCAGTACCGAACAGAATTTGATCCTATTTAATATAAACCGCTATAATCGGTTTAACACGTAATTAAAATTGGTCATACACATAACTTCCTGGTGTTAGGGGTAATGTTAAAAATTCAGGGTCGAAATGATATAAAGTAAAAGTGTTGCAATTCAAGTTATTTCTAAAGACTACATCTGGGCGTTGATTAAAAATTGCAACCCGATTAATCGCCACCGTTTAATTGGTTAATTGATAGATTAATCGGTTTCATGTATTCAGTGCATAATAGTTTTAAGAAAGTAAATTAAATTTGTTGCCTTTGCTGAACTTATGATAAACCACAAAATGTACAATTTCATATTTTAAATCAAGCTTCATGTCTAGTTGAGTTTACCAGCTATGAGAAACTCACATTTCCAAATGATTACTTCAGTTACAGAGGCTGATATTCTCCGGCAATAGCAAACTTCTTCGATTGTCCACAATAGTCTGTACTGCGCTAAACGGACACTCGCACGACGTTGAAGTGCCTGGGACACATAACCGTCTCCACTTGTTTCGAGTTACAGATCTCGCCCCTAAACTTTACTAAGGTCAAAATTTCCCCTAAAGTTTGCCTTCATACAGGTGTATTCGTCCATGTCTGCGTGGTGAAAGCGTTGAATTTTTTGTCGAATTTTATATTGACAAATGGGTTACAAATTTTAGTCGCGATTAAAACATTAATCGATTAATCGGTACGTTAATTGATCAAGTATCCAGTCCTACGAAACGAAGTTAATTCCCCAAATTTGCGCGTATTACTTTTATTTATATTTCATTCTACCTGTGCAGGGCTTAAATTGTTTTAGATGCAAACTCGTAACAGACATACATTCTGGTATCATCTTTCAAACGTATGCGAAAAAATATCACTTTTAACTGCAACTTTAAAGACAAAAGTAATGCGTGATCATAACGCCAAACGAAATGTTAATTGTTTAACCGTAATAAAGGTTGAAACGAAGTATACGTGTACCCCTTAAGCGGCCAAAGTACGCTAGGTTGAAAGCTGGCCAATAGGAAGTCTGAATAATTCGCAGGAAATATGCACGAAACTCATGTGCAAAAGTGAGCGGAGGCTGGGCTACACTTCCCCTGGAGGTGCGCTGGAAGGAACCTACTGTGGCGGAACAAACGTGAGTCGCAATATCTCCATGATGCACCTTTTATAACCAACAGCCCGTTTGATCTTACGACAGACCGTAGCGAACGTTACAAGCCATCCCAGCCAATCAAGTGCTGTGAACGAATCACGTGACCACATGGGTCGCTGTCCCCTTCCCGAAGCTGGCGTGAGACCGACACTGCATTTGAATGGCTTTGATGGCTCGTATTCCTTCGCGGTCCACCTTCAGCTGAAGCGGTGAATATCAGGATTCTCCTACCTTCTCCATCTAAATAACCCCAGAAACGTTAATCGTACAGTTCTATTTTGAACAACCAATTTTCGTCAAAACTGTGATGGTGGCCAACCCTCTCATAGCAGACTAACCAAGCCTTGTCCATTGCATCACATGTTTCTCTAACGGGTATTCTTCTAATTGTTCTAACGGCGTTTTGGAAAGATAGAGTAGTTTTTGCTCACACGTACTTTAGCGTTTTTGCGTGAATCAGCCGGACAGTCTTTAGGTATTCTTCGTCCAACACAGTGGTGCCGTGGCAGCCAGTGCGAGCCCATTCCCAAGAAGTATCTCCATGTGGTACCCGGCGGCTGGAGCGAGTGGCAAGTCGAGGGCGAATGCACCAAAGCCTGCCTTGAGGACAGCGTGCCCCTGATTCGCATGAGGCGCTTCTGCAACAACCCACCGTACGTCGTATAATGCTGCGCTGTTGAGGTCTTTGTTTTCACTACTCAGTTCCACAGGATACATGAAGGCCCTCTTTTAGAGGTCTTTTTTCCCGTAAACAGGAGAGCTTGTTTAGTGCCAGACTCGCCCACCAGAGGCGCTCCTCTGAAGTCCTTGTTGAGATAAGGTTGAACATCGTGCGCGAAATTAATAGACTCGTGCTTGGCGTCACCCAACCACCCTTTGTCATGGTGACGGGCTGTACCACGGTGGTCTATGGAAGGGTCAACGATGCTACAGCCACCACGTGGCCAGGCTGGCCAGGAAAGTATCATTATTTTCCCAGCAAGCACTTACTAAAGCGATATCAGAACAATTTCAGCTTAAGAAATAAAAAAGAAAGGGCCAAAGGTCGCAACTTTAGGTAACCACACTTACCTCTAAAGGCCAGTAATGTAGCTGATTCCAATATTGACACTAAACGGTATTGCAACCACGTCTTGCTCTTAATAATGGCATCGAAGTTACAGATATACAGCTACCACAGCAACATCTGAAAAACAAAATTGGAGTGTGTGTATGTTTATACATCTATAGGACTTAGTGAGCCTCAACGGGCTACTTGTCTCCCAGCTGCAGATGAGAAATTTAGCTAGTGCAGTACAACCGCTAGCCTGGGTTTTTTAACGTGCATCGCGCAGTAGTGATATAAAACCACCCGCCGGTACGATTCTCATCCATATTGCAACGGGCAGGGCTGATGATTGAACCAGAATCCCTAGGTTCTGTAGTACGAGGTGCGACGTCTGATGTAAGCGTGACATTGTAAGTTAAAAAAATCTTTCGGTAGTATAGCATCAACTGTGCATTTTGTGCTCATTGGTGTTTACGGTCGAAGGGTCGGATGGCTTTTCGCTGATGTAAATTCTATGATACAGAATATTCTTCTGTACATGATAGTCTCAAAACTTTCCAGTCCTTTAAATTTCCGTGAACCTGTATTTTCCGGCTGCACTGAAGACGTGCTTGTCAAAAAATATTGTAGCGTATACTTTCCAAGCCTAGACTGAATATGTTGCTCTCTATTGCAATACAAATATAGTTTAGGTGAATTGTCTAAATTCAAGTGATTTCGGTAGGAGCTGTAACAGATAATAGCCGGACATGTTCGTAGGGGCTGCTTACAAAGGATAGGCGGTCCCGGTATGCGTTGTAATGAGGAAACAAAAAGTGAATTAGAAGAGAAAGAGGAACATTATAAAATTTGTAAGAAAATAATAAAGAGGAATTGTGGAAAGCGGGACAGAACGAAATAGATTGCATGTTTAAACAAAAAAAAGAACCTGAAACAAACTTATTAATTATCAAGTCATCGTATGAGAAATAATATGGATATCCCACGAGAACGATCTATACCCTAAAACAAACTGTAGTAGATTCTTTTTTATTCACTTTAAAATAGTTTAAGAACTCGATTCCTTTTTTTTTTATGCAGTATGTAAACCATCGAATTTGTGTGTCTTCTTTTTGAGCCATTTCTGGAGTACGCGTGAGTGTATCGATAAGGACCAAACACACTCACTGAAGAACTCACTCAGTATGATTTAGAAAACCGCCGCAAAGGTGTACCCTCATTGTAGTGGAGTTTAACTTTTTTTTTGTCATCAAAATTCCAGGAAAAAGAACAGCGTAGAAGGCTGTGAGGGAGACAGCACGGTTCTAAGGCCGTGCGACATAAGCGAGAACAAAAACGCAAGTATTCTTTCTCATGGTCACGTTCCCTTTGACGCAATATTAACATATTACATAACTAAACAAGACTCCGGTGTTAAACAAAACAAAACAAAAAAGATTCCTGGAAACTTTTGTTCCAGCTAGGATAAGTTTTGTCAAAACCTACCCCTCTTAAAACTTTAAAGGTATCCTGAGGAAGTTTCTGAGATCGCCTAGATATGGCGATAACCCACCCTGCTGGCTCTAAGCATCGGAGAAATCCATAAATCATGACGAAACGCGGCCGATTCCTTCTATTAAAAAAGCAATCAAAGATCGCAACACACCGATTTCGTTTCCGGCGATGGGAGGATCATGTTCCGAAACCAGGACCATCGTCAGCCAATAGCGAGCGAAGGATCCACGTGACTCCTACCGGTGGAACCGCGGAGCGATATCTCGAATGTGCGGGACTCGTTGCCCGTACAGCCCGGACAAAACGAATCAATCCGACGAGAACGCGCTCGAGCGCTTGAGAGGTGATGACCGGACACATCACACCCGTGGAAGACAAAAAAATAGTTCGTTGTTTTTGAGAGTATTATTGTAATATTATGTTCCCTCCCCAACACAAAAAAAAAAAAAAAAAAAAAAAAGTTTTTTAGCAATTTTAGCTGGCTTCTGTCGTCTACAAAAGCAGACACATATTGTAATACCAGCTTTTGCAATCTCAACAAACTGTCGCGTTTCAACTAGCCACGGACCGTCATGGCTGCCGGCGCAATGCCTAAAATAATTTCGATCTTTGATTAATTTTTTTTTTAATATGGAGATCGGCAGCGCATCGTTATGATTTATGGATTTCTAGAATGCTTAGAGCCCGCAGAGTGAGTTATCGCCATATTTAGGCGACCACAGAAACCTGCCCAGGGCACTTTAACTCTCAACTTTTACACCAATATCAGAAAACAATAAACACCGAAAAACATTCGCCGATGTGTCTTATAAGTAAATACCGGAATTATTTACCGGGGACCAAAGCAAGCGCACTCGTTGGTTGCCGAGTATCCTAATGCCAACGAATACAGCCAAGCTGAAGCCACTGAAGACACGCTGTAGGATCAAAGATCACTTCCTTCACACGACACGTTTGCTAATTCGTATCGTCGTACCTTTAAATTGTTGTTTATTTTTTGTTGACAATATTTTTTGTCCGATTCGCGTAATTAGCCTCTTTATGTTGGCGCCAATTTGTCCAGCTATATCCAATATATCCAGATACATCAGCCTACAATCGCTATAGGTCGGCTATCATCGGCTGACAGGCGCGGATCCACGCCCATGTGGTTGGCTTTCATCTGCCACCAGAATTGCGCCTAAAATAGGCTGCGTGAACTTGAATATTTTGAATATTTATATTTGGTGTATGCTGAAACGGGTGTAGAGGTAGAAGCGCAACCTTGCAATGTTTCTTTGCCCGATGAGGACGCTTGTTTCCCTCCTCAGGCGCCAGCATGCAAGAAGCCGCTAACCAACAAAGAGTACATCAACCAAAAGTGCGAGTACTTTTCTCGCCTGAAGCCTGATCTGAAACCGGACGGCATACAGCTCCCTTACGACAGAAGTAAGTGGGCCAGTCTTCATCGCGTTTTTCGCTCCAGATTTTTTTTTTCAAGGCAGCTAAATAAAATACGTGTACGAGGATACGTGCATCTTTCCTTGGCAGCAAACATCGCCAAAGTCCCTAGATACACTAGTTAATGGTTTGAAAACATCGCCGTATTCTGCCCTTTCAAATTTTGTCACCACAAGCGGTGCTTATAAACGTAAGATTTAAAAAAGAATTAAGAACAAAAACTAAAAACATAATTAAGTTCTGTTTTTAAGTGTTTGAGACTGTGGGGTTTTATGAGCCGGTAGAGGCATCCAGCGACTTGCTCCAGGGTAGCTTATCCGAACCCACACACATCTATCCGTTAGGCTCTTCGAGCGATCTGATTGGTTCACTCCTCACTCCGGCAGCGCGCCTCAAGTGCTTGGATTTATCCCACGGGAAGATTTCCCATACCGTGACGAAAATGTTCCAGGTCACGAAATCTAAGGATCGTGGCCTTGGTAAGACGTGCCTACAACACGTCCACAATTGCCCGGACGATGCCCTGTCAAAGCTTAGAAGTGTCTCCCACCTCTAGTCAGACTCGACTTTGAACCCTGACTGCTCTCGGACGTGTCGTAAGCATGTCAACTACGGTAACTGTAAACCCACAGTCCTACTGCATCGATTTAAAGACATGGTGTTCGCTGCAGTTAGGATGCGGTCACGATGCGAAGATAATACGGACAAATTACTATCGGACACGCCTTATGCATACTCGAGGCATGTTTCCTTCATACATATGCATGCTTCGAAGATGTCTTCATACAGTTTTCGTCCTTGCTTGGACTTGCCGACAGTTGTCCAAATGGTTCCCCAACAGATATATATTTGTAACGCGCTGGTGAAACTCAATTTGGAAGCCTTAATGGTTGGAAACATGTCATAACCATGTCTTAAGCATGTCAGATACACTCTCAAGAAAAAAGGGTGTCAAAAGGTGTATTCTTACACCCTTTGTCCCATATAATACACCCCAAAACTTCAATTCGACGTACAGCGCCCTACAGTCGAACAGAGGGTTCGAAAATTTACGAGGGGCTTGATAGCCGTGTGGTACAACTTAATAAAATAGCTAATGTACGTTTTACTGAACACGAAAAAAATAATCAAGGTTTTCTTGGCCCTAATGTAAAAACTCGGTGTTTTCTTTATGTGGTCTTTGATACGTACTTTAGCTATTTAAAAAGTTGTACCACACGGCTAGCAAGCCCCTCGTAAAGTTTCGGGCCCTCTGCTCGACTGTAGGGCACTGTACGTCGAATTGAAATTCTGGGGTGTATTATATGGGACAACGGGTGTAAGAATGCACCTTTTGACACCCTTTTTTCTTGAGAGTGTACGGTAACGAAACCGCCTTCGACGGTTTCCGCAGACCAAACCTGGCGAGCCTGCAGCATCTATTGCCGCTACCGGAAGAGCGGCTACATGTTCGCCCAGTTCGACCTGGCCGACTACCCAAACGTGACCAGCTACCTGCCGGACGGCACACGATGCAACTTCGACAACGACACTGGGGCCGCGTACTACTGCCAGGGGAATCAGTGCGCCACGCTGCTCCAGAGCCTCGCTGGCATCCAGGACAACGAGGAAGGAGAGGCCCTGGACGTGGACGCTGACGATTGGGCGGAAGAACGGGCCCAGGGGCGATCCCTGGTGGAAAAATACCTAGAGTACAAGCCGGGAAGTAGCTTCGCAGTCCTTGACAAAAAGAAGATCAAGCACACGCCCCTGCGTGTTCATGTGGACGACGCTGTTGAGATACCGGGGACGTAGGCTTTAGCGGCAGGGGTGACCGCTAAAACCCGACGGACGCTTTAAACCCCCGACATGAACAATACATGGCTTACACTGACGTCCCATCAGCCGACATTGTGGTGGCCTTACTGCTGAGCGCGTACTTTCTGCATCGTGCCTTTCGCGCATTCCAGTTTGTTTTTCTCGGCTAGAACAAGTAGAAAAGGCCGGCAGCATGGTTCGATGACGACGCGTGCTAGCCATGTATACCTAGTATGTTCGCTCTTTATGTTCAAGAAAGTGCATTCCGAAAGACGTTTATGAAGTGGACATGCTGCTGAATATACGGTATTTGTTTTGCTTCATTTTGGTCACCTTCGCGAGAACCGTAATTATAACAGGGGATGACACCCCTTTTCCTTCAAGCCATTTCGAACATCAACAATAAGACAACTCCCGTCTTACTGTTGTTGTTTGAAATGCTAGAAGGAACAGGGGTCTCATCCCCTGTTAGAATTACCAAATTTTATTAAAAGAGTAAATAACAAGACCGGGGGGTAAATAGTTGAAGCGTATTTTATGAAGTCCTCAGGTGACAACTGCTTCAGCACGCCTACGGTTTTACTAAATTACAAGTATCTTTTTTTTTCTAGATGGTTTTGTGTAGTCACGTTGAACTGATACGAATGTTTAAATCATTGTCATCTGTTGTTTGTGTTGATGGGTTGCTTTTATCAGATGTGGTTGCCATGATGGGAAAGAGTCTTCACGCATGTGTGCTGGGTGGTTTGCCTCGATTAAATCAGTTGAAAGCCAGTGCCAGTCCGTGTTGTATGCGTCTCTTCTTCGTCCGTGTTTTTTTTTTCCACTTTTCAGTCTTCTGGGTCAAGAAGGGACCGCCGGGAGAGTTGTAAGCAACCTGAAAATAGGAAAAAGCTACCCAGCTAGGGGATGGAGAAACCAGAAACGGGTCAGCGGGTCAAATTATTGGGGTAGTAGAAAATTAAAGGTGATGAGCTTGAATCAGATGCGATTGATTCGTCTGTTTGAAACGTCTTTCAAGCAGTTCACCAGGCGTCTCTTTCGTGGAGACTGCAGAATGGCTTAAACGTGCTGGGTCATACACTATCTAGGCTTTATTAGTGCCCGTGAGTCTAATTTTTGACTAAGAACACATGACAGCCAGTCACTACGATTTGCAGAGAAATGGTTAATGACGAGATTGAAAAACCGTTCTACCTAAATATGATACTCATTGTTGGAGCGCGGAGCATGATGTGGGGCATCCGTAACGTCATGATAAGTGTCACCGCCAAGACTAACATTTTTAGCGAAATGTTTTTCCAGCCTAATGATTTCTTGAGCTTTTGTTTCATAGATTGCAGTGAATGGCTCACAAACTACTCTGGGAGAAAATAGATGTATACGGAATTTAAGTGCGTGTAACTCAGAACTTATTCGCCCTAGTGAGCCATCATCACGTTAGGATTTAACTCGCCCCATGGATTGGGCATCAGCGCAGCCTTATCGTTCCCTTGAAAGCTGTAATCCAAACAACGTAGCGTGCGCGGTAACCTGTGACGTTATACGGATGATAAGAATACAACAGGGCACTCTTTAATTCTGGCGTTGTTGGGTACAGTCAGCGTCAGAAAAAAACTTGACTACGCCTCCAGAAGCAGATTCTCGAGAAGATAAAGAAAAACTGGCAAAACTGCCAAATATCAATTGGTCAGTGATATTCCGAAGCAGTGCCATTAGCCGAGCTCATCGCAAAGGCGCACAGAGTTGTTGTAACTACTCCTACGCAATCCACTACACCCTAGAGTGTAGCGCATACACCCCTTTCAGCCGGCCAAACTTCAAAGCAAATTTGGGGAATATATTCCCCCCTCCTTCCCCTCTTGAGAAGCTTGATGAACGTGCAGGATCGGACGTGGGTGTATCTCGAAACATCCCATTCGCATAGGAGGTACACCAGCCGGCAATATGAAGGTGAACACCTTACCTGGTTTCTTGCCTGTTTTACGACTCACGAAAGCTATATTAACTTTCATCGTCTCAAATGGTACGTGGCTTGGGGTCTAAACTTTGCGTTCTAGCCCTCTTCTGGAACAGAGCTTGTTCCAAAACTTGCAGAAGCGTCAAAAACAAGAAGAGGGCTGTTCACCTTCATGTCGCTCACGGGTGTACGCAGGCTGGGGCCCTTATCTTGACACTTGACAAAAAAAGTCGGCGAGAAGTCCGGCGGTTGTGACTGGCCTTCACCAAGGTCAAGCGCTGGGCCGGCGAGCCACGGCCTCCGGATTTGTCGCCGACTTTTTCACCATGTATCCTACATATGAGTCATTGCGCGGCCACACGCCCAGCTCGGGGACTGAAAGTTCCAAAGTTCCTTGCCAGTACCGCGTGCTATAAACGCTTGTCCACCTTTTGACTTTAGGGCACTCCTTCAATGCTTCGTTCTAGGGCACTACCTTGAATTCTCGGTTGGTATTGGTTTCTTGTTTATAACATGGTTCGCGATTTTATTGAGAAACACATTGCAGGTGCTTCGGGTACCAGTGCATTCCATCATCTGCCCATGGTTGCAACAAAAAATTGCTTCGCATATAATGTTTTTTTCTGCTGTTTCATTGCATTTATTTTGGTTGCCCAGATGCAATCATAGTAGACTGTTCCTGGTCAGTACGCGCCGTTTCCAGCCTGTTGCCAGACTCGTTGCTCTAGAGACTAGATGTAACACTGATTTTCTATTCTCGTGAGCAATATAAAACTTTCAGTAAAACACAATACGCGTTTTCTTTGTTGGCCCATGGTTGCAGTTCTTGTGCTGAAATGGGGTGACCTGCTGTTGTGATCGTCAAGAGAAAGTCGATAACTCCGAAGGCCTTTGTTGTGTTGTAGATAAAGTGATATTCTGTATTCTGCTAAGCTTTTATCTATGTTTAAAACAATTTGCAACATCATGGGCTAACCGAAAAGGTTACAAGCATGAGTGGCTAACCTCTAAGAAATCTTGTCCTTCCTGCGGGCGAGCAATATGCACCGATTCTGACAGCAGAGACGTCAGCGCGATGTGTACTTCGTTACCATGCAGACTATTTGTTATTTGTGCATACTGGAACAACACTGACTGGCGGTAACAACGACGTGGAACTTGCGCATTCTTACCTGACGTCTGACTATAGACCTTTCCCATGTTTATAAAATCACAGTCTAGCGTGCGATCTTCACAGCTCATCATGTGCGTGTTCACCGCTTCGGAAAGCAAGCAAAGCACGCGCCTTACGCACGTACACTCAAAATGGCTCCGGCCACACTCTCGTTTTGAAAGGTCTATAGGGAGTATTCACTGGCGGCCATAGCTGTGTGCGCGAATGCTGAGCGCGTGCTGACGGCGAGCTTCTACAGTCCTTTTGCAACGTGCGTTCCGCACCATCAAGAGTGCCGGTCTTAGCAGCCTATTGATGTGAGCTCCTTCTGAGCATGCACTTTAAACAGCACCCACAAAGATGGCGTCCAGTGAATACTCCCTATAGACGATTGCAAGGAAAGCAACTGGCCACTGGCCATGTGTTTGCTCGTGCGGACAAGCTCGTGCAAGTGCAAGCTTGCCAAAGCTACGTTCACGCGGAAGTTGCACGTGCATGCGCGCATGGGGCACCAAACATTGCGCCCTGCTTGCGATTGTCTGTAGATCTTTTTCACATAACCTCATACCAGTGCGCAACTGACGTACCCTCGACCCGGTGCCTTTCTGGATTTCCCGCTGACACAGGGTATGCAACCGCCGAGGGTATGGGCGAAAAGGCTTAGAAATGAATGAGACGTCGTGCGTGACTTAGTTACAGGTGCTTCTTTTTACCGTGTTACAATTTCCGAAAATCTGCGGTTGTCTGGCTATCATTGCGTCATCGTCGGATGCACGAATAATTTTAATAAGCATAAGAACAATCGAAGAAAGTGTGCCACAAGAAGCTGCAGCGAGAGTGTGGCTGCAATGTTATTGAGCTACGCATGTTCCCCAAAGATTCTTATTTATAAAGTCGGTCGATTGCGACCCTGAATCGCGAGGCCTTTGTATCAGATTCATCGTCACGTTCAGGCTCACGACTGCTGTGCCTACGACAAGAGGACCGATTCCAACCCGGTGCAGGTGCTCCGATTAGGTTATCACTGCAAGGTATGCTGCTCCATGGCGTGTGAAGGGTATGAAAACGTCTACGTGTCTCCACTCAAGATGCAGATATTAAATGACGAGAGCTTACCTGTATAGACTACATTAAACCACTCATAAATAGCTTCATTGTGGAAACTCATTCAGAACACCCCGTCTTCGTCCTCATTATTTGGAGGAAGCAAGGTGATGGTTTGTCATCAGCCAGTTCGATTCAAACGCCCAAGTTCCAGCCGAGTTATTTAAGCCCCCCCTCGCCCCCCCCCCCCCCAATACCCACAGGGTTGCCTACCCAGATAGCTGTGCTGCCAGAACCAGCCGGTATTTGAAATTGTAAGCCGCTAGACGGCATCGTCGGCGTCGCAATTCTCAGGATGGTGGCGGCCTTAAAGGAGCGATGCAACAATTTTTGTACTTTGCGCAAATACCGCTTAAAACGGATCCCTAACGTTAATGACCTATGAAACACGCGTTCGTTCTTCACCCCAAGCAATAGAAGTACCAGAAAAAATTTAAGAAAAACGAGCAGCCGTTCACCCCCTCAACTCACAGCCAGAACAAGCGGCCACGTGATCTGGAGCCGATTATATGCCGCCAGTGTTGATCATAGCCACGCGCTGGGGTTGGCAAAGCGCAGGACACGAGCTGAGTTCCAGGCATTGTTATGGCTCGGCTGTTGTCGTCGTAGCAGCGATTGGACACGGGTCACTACCCGAATGCTTATCGAGCTAGCCATTATCACGAGCCCAAGTCGAGTGCCCACGCAACGCTCGGGTCCAATCTATGAGCCGCATTCAAATATCGTCACTTGGGTGTACTGCGATCCCCGAGTTACGTCATCAAATTTTGCAAAGGAGAGATTGAATGAAAATGATCGCTTTTGTCCTTCAAACTACACCGCAACAAAGGAGTTTCTTGGCCAGTGGCGTTGCGTGTGAGTATCCTTGAGTCCCAGGTGTGCCAGTAAGCTCGTGTAGAGAGAAAAACATTCCAATTGAATATCGTTGCACAGCTCCTTTAACAAAAAGAGTCTGTACAAAAAAAGAGCAAGAGAAGCTGAACATTACAAAAGCGAGCATTCTCCGGAAATATCCTTGCGCTGCACGAGCGCGCGCGCTGGGCACGGCCGTTCAAAGCGCATAGCTCGCACTTGTAGCTTCTTGTATGTCCAAACATAATGTAAAACAGGCGCGAGCCAAACACCAACGATTTGCGCGTCGTCCAAGATATGCCGATTCTGCAACGCCAGAAATATTACACCTTTTTAACGAGAAGAGCATTTCTTTTCCAGAATTTTGGGCAGATTTTATGTTGCCACAGACAATAGCAAGCATTTGTGGTTTGTGACATGTTAAGAATTAAAAAGCTGGACGGAACGCAACGCGCGCTCTTTGCCTTCTGTCATGCTTCGGTTGCGTATGAATCGAAGTATCATCGAAGTCAGAGAATTCGCGCTGAAGCAGTATAAAGCCTCTCCCCCCTCCCCTTCCCCCCCCCCCCCCCCCCCCCAACAAAAAAAAAATGTCGCCACTAGTGACAGGCTGTCTTCATTAGAGTGCCTTCATACACACGCGCGCTTTTGCTTGAGTGGTGACATCTCAGCCATTTTTCCGCCCAATCGTTTGTTTATGCATCTTGAAGTGCGCGCAATCCGGTGTCACTCAGCTCGAGCGCGTAGCTTTGGCTGATGCATAGACGCCATCTTACCGCCCAAGTCACGCACCGAGTGCGCGAGAGCGTCACGCGCTGGCCCATTCCGGACAACAATGGATGTCTTCACCATGAGACAGACAGACATCTAGGCACCCTAATCTTCATACAGACGCGCTTTTGCTTTAGTGGTAACATCTCATTTTTCCACAAAATGTTGTTTTCCTTTCCTTAAGTGCATACAACCCTGTATGACTCAGCTAGAGCGCATAGCCCTAATGCTTAGCCGCCATAGTGCCGCATATATCACGCAGGCGCTCAGTGCAACAGAGGATGTCTTTTCTTCACCTGAGACAGACAGACATGTGGAACCCTAACCAGTGGATCCACCGAGCCCCACCTAGCTTTCGTCAGCATCGCCACCAGCGCGCCTTGCAGCGTCTCACACCAAGCGGGACGCTAGGACGCGGCGGGGACGCGTCTGCCGCTTCGCGGCGCTTCTTGACGAGCTTCAGCGTGTTTGCCGTGTGGGGCGGGTCGGTGGGGGTCCCCTAACCACGACGTCTTAAGCAGGCCTTGTCTTCTAGGTGGTGTGCGGAGAGCAAGTCGACTGCTTCTAGCGCAGGATGGTCGGGGACGTCAGCGCGACGCCGAGCTCTAAATGGCTTAGCTCGAAAGGGCAGTGTGTAGACCCCAATGCTATATGCTTCGAGGTCTACCCACTATTTTTTTTTTCTATCAGCCAATAAGAGCTCGGCGTGCTGACATGTACGTCACCCCTGTGCAAAAAGCAGACGAACTTGCGCTTTGCCTTCGCTGTAGGCGGAGCGTCAACTTATACTCGTAGTTTAGCACCGCTGAGGCACGCACTTTTACGGGAGCCATCGAGCCATCTCTTAATGACCGAAGCCTGCAGCTAAAAAGCAGAGCACCACCAGATGACATCGTTGCTTTATGTACACACAAAAGCGCACAATTTCCACCGTCTACATCTGACCGTAATCTTGGGGCTGATAGAGAGTCGGGTCGCAGACCGCCATGGCCGAGACGGGCGCAGCGGCGGTCAGACCGGCCATCGCGTAGAAGTCCCCGTAGTAAGCTCCGTAGGCCTGCGGCGTCGCGTAGTAAGCTGGCGTGCTGTACGGTGCCACGGCCTCCCACCCTGCCGTTGTCCCGTAGCCCGCGGCGTAGGCGCTGTACCCTGCACTGTAGTCGCCGTAGCTCATCGGCGTCTGCTGCACCGGACAGGCGAAGTCGACTTCCGCGGGCGCTCGACGCGTCTTGCGCTCGGCGCCGAACCCTTGGTATACGGCGCCGCGACGCATCCGGCCTCGAAACGAAGACGCTCCGCCGCCTCTGGGAGTCCGTGTCCTCGCCTTGTCCCTCGCCCGTTCGACCCGGAGGAGAGCCCCGTTGACGATGGTGCCGTTCATCTCCCGCACCGCTTCGTCGACGCGCGAGTTGTCCTCGAACTCGACGAAGGCAAAGCCGGGTGGGTTCTGGGCCATCCAGACTTCCTTGAGCTGGCCGTACTTGCCGAATTCCCGCTCCAGGTCCTCCCGGGTCATGATGCAGTCCAGGCCGCCCACGAAGATGCGGGCTGCGCACGGAGCTCCTGATGGCGGCGATGACGTCGCGGCGTCTGTGGCACTCATGATGTCCGACTGTGCTCGCGCTGAACGGTCTTCGTGCCCGTCTGATTTGGAGCGCTCCTACCTGGTCCTTCTGGAGCCGTCGGAGCCTTCTTCGGAATGTATGGCGTCTGGTGGGGGGCTCCACTTGCCGTTGCGGAAGAAACGACAGCCGATGGCCGATTTCGAATGTTCTTGATTAGCCGGTCCCCTCTGGTGGTAGCGGACCCTTCCCTCGCTGCGTCCGCTTATTCCCGTCGTTTTATGCGTATGGCACGCGCTCACTGCGTGAGACGCTGCTTCGATTTCAAGAAGAATGTGAAGCCGGTTTTCTTCTTCGAGCACGTCGGTTCGAGCCAGTGTAAAAAAGAAGCCGAAGCCGAATGCACGAGCTCCAGACAATGTTCTTCCCGATCGAGGACGCGTGGAGTCAGCACGCGCTAGGCTGGCTTTGATCGGTACTCGAGGTGCGCGCTCGCGCGGACGCCCATAACTTTGCTGCTTTGCCTACTTGCCTAAAAAACGTTTTCAAGAATCACAGTCCACACCCGTTAAAACAGAGACCGGCATGCGCGCTCGCAAATGCCACGAGTCAGAAGATTAACCTGCGAAACGCATATACACTAAACATCTTCTTTTGTTTCTTCCTTACAAGGACGTTTCTTTTTTTATTGTCCTGTCTTCAGCTCGAACTTCCGACCTTCGATAATGCTTGTGCGGCTGTATCGTACTGTGCTATACAAGAGCCCCGTGACGAAGCGATGAAGTGCTCGCGCTACCAACGCGAGCGCCCGGGACATCGTTCGAAGCTTTTGGACTGACTAGACAGGCTGGACACTGTGGGACAGAACATCGAACTGATAATGAAGTCGCAATAATAAACATCGCCCAAGCACCGCAGAAGGCAACGAGCGCGTGCTGGAGACCAAACATTGGGAAAAAAAAAAAGACGCCCTGTGTTGGCCCTGCCGCACGGTATTTTACACCGTGCCCTGCCGTTCTTATCAGGCCGTTATTCGCAACTTTCATGGCCTTTATGTGGCGCACTGGTGCCTATCAAAATGGCTGTCTTTTGGATGATCGTCGTAGAACAGCGGTACAAGGCTGGGTCTGCGACCGCGTCAGTAATTCTAGTTTTACTATATACGAGCAGTATTAAAGCCTTACGTTATTTTTTTACGCCCGGAAGGTGTAGGCAAGCCCATTTATTGTGAGGCCAATCATCCAGGAGCTAGGGTGCGCGATTCTCACAACGCGGTACCACCATCGCTGAAAGTTGAGATAATTCCGGCAGTAGACCGTTTCCACAAGTCCATCGAGCAGCATCGGCGGTCGCGTTGCTTGGGAGTTTTTAATTAGTTGATTTGGCCGATCCGCCAAAGGTCATTCTAGTGATATCCCACACCGCCTGGTGATAGTTACGGAATTTCAGAGGGTAAGCAAATTGGAGAAGGAAAGAAATCATAATGTTGGTTCTTAATTTCTAGGCTAGGTGGCGCAAGCTACCCACGTTAGCATCCATCCATCCATGGACACGAAGCCCGTGATTGGATCCGAGTTCCCGCCGAACGCTGACGTCACACTCGTGTCCCATACATGCTCAGATCACGTGATCAAGCAATGGCGGATTGATTGATTGATTGAAGTCCTTTAATGACAAGGATGACTGGAGGCCGCAGTGGGGAAGAAGGGGGAAGGGGGGAGAGGGAAGGGTAGTGGAGGGGGTTTGGTCATTTTAACATGTCGGGCAAGGTACTAGGGCAGTCTCCTCGCGCTACACCACTCGATATAAGCCACTGATTTTTCCATGATCTGCGACCGCCTTTTGGGCATCATCGTCTGTTTGTATAATAGCAGTAAGGGCTGCAAGAGAGGTCACTTGTAGGTCGTCGATGCGGTTTCGGCCCCGTGCGAAGGCAGGACAGTACTTTATAAGATGCCACAAATCTGCGCGGCACTGTTGGAGACAGTGGCTGCATCTTGGTGGTGCGGCTGACACAGGTGGCGGCTGCCACTTACTGATTATGTGTGGTGTGTAGGCCGCGTTCGCGATGACTTTGTTTATAAAAACTTCTTGCTGCCTAGAAAGTCCTTTGATGATAGGTGTCTGCGGTCTGGCCTCCATGATACGCTGTTTGCTAGCGGTCTTAGTGGAGGTACGAATGAAGTGCATGTAGGCTATATGCCTGTTCAAGGGTGTTTCGGTCGGATCCAGGTGATAGGGTGTCTGGAGTGTGGGATTGTCGGGGTGCGGGGTGGCGTAAGTGTGGTCCGTCCCGCTTGCGCTGTACGGCTGCTGCATGCGTCGCAGCATTACCCCCGTCATACGCGGTATGTCCTGGGGTCCAGAGTATGGTTACCTTTTACCGCCGAATTCAGAAACCTCACTCAAACTACACTCAAACTGAAGGGCCCCTCCACTTCCTCGAGGAAGGCGCGAGGGCCGGCGCTGGCCAATCGCGAGGACGGATCCGCCGTCGCGATTGGCCAGCGCCGGCACTCGCGCCTTCCTCGAGGAAGTGGAGGGGCCCTTCAGTTTGAGTGTAGTTTGAGTGAGGTTTCTGAATTCGGCGGTTAATTCCAAATCCTTGAAGCATCTGCAGTATTTTTCTAATTTGATTCGCTGTGGCGTCTTCCATGGTGGAGGAGGATAGTTCCTGCACCGCTGCGAAGGAGTCGGTTAAGAGGCGATATTGGTGTCGGAGTGTCGCGTCTCGGTCAGTGAAGGCTCTGTGCTGTACGTCCTCCAGTGCTCCCCAAATGGCGAGGAGTTCCGCATGGAGTACGGTGCCCTGTAGGAGAGCACATGAGTGCTGTCCTTGTATGCGAGGGTCGGTGTCGCAGATCCAGGCCATGCTGACTCGGTCGTTTCTTGCCGTTGCGTCCGTATAGACGTTGATAACGTTGTCTGCACTGCTGGCGTGCCGGCAGCTTCGGCTACGCCTAGCCTCTGCGGCCAATCTGAGCATAGGGCGGTTGGTGAAGCTTCCTTGCGGGGGAGTTTCCCAGGGTGAAATGATCCCACTGACGTCCGGCATTGTATCGCACCGTCGCCTTTGGTCCCATAGGGTTGTCAGCTTTCCCTAATAGGAGTTGTCCAAGCGGGACTGCATTCGGATACGGGCTTCGGTAATGATGGTCTGGATCGGAGGTATTGGTGCCAACTGCTGGAGGAGGGTCATCCTAGTGTGCTTGGGCAGCCCCGTTACTGTACGCAGGGTGGCTCTGCAATTGTTCTATGTCGCGTAGGTCTTTCGGAGAGAGTTCGTATACCGGCGCCCCATAGAGGACTCTGCCTACTGCAACCGCACTCGCAAGGGTTGCGGTTGAGCTTTGTCGCGCCCCGCCATACTTGCTGGACATGCGGCGGACTGCGTGAAGGAGGGGTGTCCAGTTCTTACGTAACGTTTGAAATGGCGGATAGGCGTTGGCGAGGACTTTGGAAAAGGGTCTATCCTAATTATGTTAACTAAAAAAACGTATTTTCTGTTTTTTATTTACTTTTTGTTTTCATTTTCTGCAACTTAAGTTAATATAGACGCTTTCAGCGCGCGCCAGATTCGGCCGCCATAGCCGCGACCTTCTTTTGTCTTACCGAGATGCCGAGCCACTGAAGCGGGCGTTGACAGGCCTTCACAGGAGCCTACGCTGGGCACAAGGACACAGTAGCATCTAAAATGGCAATAACCTCTCCTGCTGTGGTAATGATGAAGTCGAGCGAACGTAATAAGAGGCAAGAAAAACTGAAGGTCAGTTGTGGCAGAGCCCATGCACAGCTGCCTGAAAGCGTCTATAGTATTAAGGAGCCTGCTGCGGCTCCGTTCGTCCTTAAGCTGATGGCGAATTCCACAGGTCGGTTTGGGAGCGCGCCGGGATCGACTTTTCTGGAGCGAGCCTATTTCACAGGACGATCGGGATCGAGACCGACGTGTTTCACTGGTCGTTTTGGATTAGCTCCCGTTCCAGATCTCGATCTGGATCCGAGAAAAGTCGCTCCCACGATTTCGGCGGATTCAACCGGAAGCCAGCCGGGCCAGCCCTCGGCGCACACACGTGACTTCCTTTCTCGTGGGGCATCTCGAGCATCTCGCTTCATCTCGCCCATCTCGCCTCAAAAGAAGAAGAAGCACGTCGCGGGCAGGGCTCCTAGATTGTCTCGACATCAGAATTCGTAATGGCCACTTGCTTACCCCTTGGCTCGACAGCCGGTTCGTTTTCCAGGAAAGAGAAGAGAAGGTATTTGCTGCGCTACGGGCATTCCGGCAATCTTTGCTAGAAGCGCCTGAGCCATTCCTGCCGCTCGTGCATCGAACACGTGTTATGCCTGATTCGCATGGTGCGAATTTGCCTGCGATTTCGCAATTGCGACGCCGTTCTTGCGGCACAACGCAGTTGCGGTGCGAATTCGACTAATTCGCGACTGCGTATTTTGCCAAACTTTCCTTGCGAACGGCCGCTCTTGCGGAGGGGACAGACAGCCAACTAAACATGGCTCGTGAAAGACGTCACGGTGGTCATCGCAACGTGGGAATCAAAAATACGAAAAATGCGTCACCTACGTCGTCGTCTTCGAAATTCGCTGCGGGGGTGGGGCGACGGATATGCTTCTCCCAAGTGAATATTTTTCACCGGAGGATGTAAGCTTGAGTTCGGCATTAAAACGAACTGGCGTTTGCGTACCACGCGACGAGGTTTGTGGTTGCTTCCTTTGTAAAATTGCACGCGATAACAATTGACGCTTCTCTTCGATCACTTTGCGTAAGGGACTCGTTGCATAGTAGAAAGATGCTTTCTTCAAATCTGCTTGCAGATGACGCAAAGGTCTGTCTAGAAACCGAGAAACGTTGAACAGCACCTTGTTATTAAAGCCATTTGATAAAAATCGAGCTTCACATTTTTACGAAGTGCCAATAACTATTGATATGTAAACGCGCTGGACGCGTGCTACGCGAGTGACACGCGTGTAAAATGGCTTTAATTACAAGGTGCCGATCAGCGATTCTCGGTTTCTGGACAGACCTTCG